TGATCTTTGTCCATATTTTCACTGAATTTAAGAAAAAATCATTGTTTGATAGCGTTTTCATTTCTATCTGAACTTTGAATTCTTCGTTACGATTTTTGGTCTATTCTCCCACACCTTCAGATGAATTATGTTTACATTCAAGGAAATAAGAGTGTAACAAATTTTCAACTAGTCGCGATTTACTAATTTTTGCATATAGCTGTTAAGGAACGATTGGAGGAAGGTGGAATGATGTGCTTGGATGTTGGCTGTGGCAAAGGATTTCATTCGGCACTTCTAGGTCAGCTCAGAAAAATTGAAAAGCCAAAATATATGTTGAATACTCTTCTAGCTGAAAACTTTCCGAAATCAAACTTTATCGGGATAGATTGCACACTAGACGCTGTTCATATGGCAAATGAAAAGAGGTTTTACCACATGCTTTTCCATATTTTCGATGCAGTACATCCTAACGTTCTCTTCAGGAAAGATAATGGTGAAACTTACGATAACTTGGCATTTATGCAAATGGATGGTAGAAAATTGAGTGGCGACTGGACAGACAAATTCGATTTGGTTATCATTTTCGACGCTTGCCACGATCAGACGAGGCCGGATCTGGTAGGCAAACATATTGTGTTCATCTTAGCTTGAAGTCAATTTCATTTCTTTCTCTAATTTAATTTCTATTTTCTATTTTCTCTAATGTCTTTAATTTCAATTAACCTAACCCACTAGATTTTTTTCACAATTTCATGAGGACAATTACAGAGAATAGCCTTGATAGGTACTTAATTGAAGATCAATTAATCAAAGTCCGAAGTAATTTTTTTTCGTTTGAGGTGGTCCAATGAATTACTCTAAATAAGTTTGGACTTCGGTAGTTCAAGCATAAAGTGAGCCAGGAGACTTGGCGTATTCTTGCTGTTGTCATTGTTCTTTCAATCATCAGGAGCTCAAATATACTGTCAAATTCTCATGCAAACTAAAAATCTTCACCTACATTCAGAAAACGGTTTTATCTCTTTTCAAAGACATGCACAAGAGCGCCGATGATTCCCCTATATGACGGATTTACATATAGTTGAAAAATCTTGGTATAGCTTATGGAATCATTTCTGGAATGATATCACCTTTAAAACTCAAAAACGATAATTTACTTTACCTTTAGGCAATGTGAAAGTGAAGAGTTTTTTCCGAAGTCTTATTTCAATCAAATCTCGCAAACTCTTGAAGTAGGATTCAAAACGACAATTCAGTTTTCAACCGTTGTCGAAGTGATCATCATTTTAATGGCCAGGGCATTCATTTCGACAAAGAATTTTTT